AAGGACTTTCATCAGATACGTATAAACATATTTATGATCACAGGCAATATGTTGAAATTGAATGTTATCAGTCGAATTTTTACTCATCTACTTTTGGAGTTCCACAAGGTTCAAATCTTGGCCCTGCTGTTTATTGATGACCTTCCACGGTTCATAAAGACTCCCAAATTATAACATACTGACGATCTGAATATTTATAATGTCATTGAATGTAAAGAAGGCTGTTTAACATTGAAGATAGATATTACACAAGTTTTTAACTGGTGTTCTGCAAATCACTTTTATCGTAAGACGAAAAGCTAGTCTTTGTACTCCATTTGAATAAAATCATCTCGTAGACCAACAGGATGTATGAGGTAAGACAGGACATAGAATTTCAGAAGGTTTAAAAAACAACAAAAATATCTAAGCTTAAAGGCGCTCATCAAATAACCTTGAAATTTCAGTGTGAAATAATTCTTTCGTAATACTTTGATGTGAATAACCCCAGAGAGAAATTACTAGAAACTAGAAATTTTGATATTAATTAATTGACTTAATCTTAGGCAGGTAAAAAGTTTAAAAACTACCAATAATCATCCCATAATAATTATGAACAAATATATAATTTCTTTTCGAGAAGGTTGAACCATCAGATATTTTGATTACTATGAATTGAGTATTTTGTAATATAGAAACTAAATTTACCCAATTTGTAGCCGACGTAAGATGGAAACTCAAATTATGTAGCAGAAAAAGCCAGAGAGCTTGTAAAAAATAACAATAACAGAGATACTATCAAAATACGCAAAAAAATACACTATTGACTGTTGAAGTAGAAAATTCTTTTAAGTGTTGCTGAAGTAAGGGTAGAGAAGGTCCAATATACATGGGCTTATTAGATCCTTCATAGCAAACCGTCAGGATTTATTGTGGCTCACACCTAGTCAAACTCGACGGAATAAAACAATCGAAAGAAGCGAAGAACTCGAGTAGTGAACAATGTAGAGTGTTGAAAATAAAAATCCTAACATGTACAGTTTTTTACATAACTAAATGTAGTTTGACTTATCTTTAAGATGAAGTCTTCTCCCTATGAATTGTTCTGGGCCATGTTATTCTTAAGAAACCCTCAGTCAAATAGATATAGATCGGGAAAATATAGGATTACTTATGTTTCTCTTAATATATTGGTCAAACAGAGAGTAAGTACTGCTGCAAAAGGAATGAAAGACTATACGATAGATGAAGTTTTGTGAATTGAAAGACCAATAAACTTTTTGGCAGAAGTAGAAAATGTAGCAACTCAATATTTCGAGATGTTTGAAAATCGATAGATTAAAAAGATGATGACAAAATAGAATTCAGCTCGTAATTATCAATTACACCTCCGTTTTTATTGAACCTGTTCTTGGAATTGTTATTGTTAGTATGAAGACCCGCCTGAAGAAGTCATTGTATGGCGAAACACATGTTGCTTTTTTGTAAAACTGTATAGAAAAAATGTCACAATAAAGTGTTTTTTGTATACGTTAATACTTTTATTACTTTAGCGCTGCAACTATACACTTTATAATAATGATGTCAAGATTTTTCGATAACGTCTCCTATTTTATCAGTTTTATTATTTGCAAAAACATTTTCAATATTTTTAACGTATTCAACTAGGAGAACTGACAATCTTCTTTGAAAGTTTTATTCGAAGCACAGTGACTTGGTTATTTATCAAACAAGCTGCAGAACAAATTACACAAGAACTCGCAATTAATTGCAAATAATTACTTCATGGACTTTCTAATCTGAAAGCATCCTCATTTCTCAAATACGACACGAGAGAAACACTCCCCTTATATTACATGACTAGGAATCGAAAACTTTTTCATACGACACAAAAAATTACTACCACATACGAGGGTGATCAATAAAGTTTCCGAACTAACCAAAATACATTTTTGCAGTTTTTTTTTTCAATTTATTTCTCAACTCTACACACTTCTAGAGACGTTCCCATCTCCAAATAGTACCCGGCGTTTTTCTCTGCAAAATAATTGTTCGCGAAGGCGATTGCCTGACGTAACAACTGCGCGTCCAAAATGGCTGAAACTGGGGAGTAACTTTCAACAGATGAACAACGAAATTCACTAGCTTTCATATATAAGTGCTGCTATCTGCATGTTGAGATTGGAAATCATAGATAACCGTTTCAGTTTTTTAAGCTATTCACCAGTAGGTCCGTGGATTCTGTCACCAAAAATACAATGTTGCATTCTGTTTCTGAATTATTCCATTCTCAAACTTCCATCGAGATTGAAAAATCTACTCATGAGAAAGCAAGCTAACCATGCTTTTTACAGGAACAAACTGAGGATGAACTTTCAGTTGTTCGATCAATAAAGTATCAGAAATTTTCTCTAGACATGTCTAGGCATGCGTCATCAATAAAATATGCGTTTAAACACATAATTTTCTCCCACAAGTGAAAAACGAAGACAAAACAATTAACGTAATGTAACAAATAGAAAAGAAATGCTGTTTCTAGATGCGCGTTACGCTGACCAAACTAACACCATCAGGAGATGATTGGGACTGGTGTAGACGCCCATGTGGAAATTTTCAACCATTGGAAATACGAAGTGGAGAGAATATAGTCAAAAAGATTCATGATAGCCTTTGAAAAAATTAGTTTTTCCAACGACTCATTGATTGGCACCATGAAAAAGAGAGAAACGACATCGAAGCTGACCAGAATGTCATTTGGCTGTGGGTCCAGAGACTTTTTTGTAGTTTATTGACCATTGAATTGGAAACAAATTTGGACGACAACCTGTAGAGCTACATATAAGCAATGTTGAGACACCCAGTATAATTCCAACGAACTTCTCCGCTATATTAACCCCTAAAAACGACATGTGCAAGTGATCAATATCACTCTGCTTCATAATAATGAAACTTGACCTAGTCTCGTAAACGTTCAAGAGCGATGAAATTGATATGATTGATATCGGTAATTACTTTCGAATATTTCTTGCATACTCGTTCACGCTTCGAAATTTCATCGGTCGGTACACATATATTTACAGGAACTGACAAGAGGAGAAAGTATCGATGTCACGTAAAAATATATTGGGCCTGGCATGTGCGACAGGTTGGGTTATAGCACTTGAGAACAGCTTTTACCGGTCCCAGAAGAAGTAAAATCGTTTCTTTGAACGAACTGATGACCCGCTGCTCTAGTAGTCCCGAACAAGCATTTAGATTTCGATGATTATCAGTCACTGGATGGAAGATGCATCGCTATATAATTTTCTTCTCTTCAGTTTCGCTTGAAGAGGGAAATGCAGTTATCGCTGGAGAACATTATGATTAGGAGGTGGGGAAGAAAGTACAGGACAACAAAAGTGACTTATGTGAAAGCTATTTTCCTGTTTTTTAGCCATAGTCTGTAGGTTTTTGTGCCTGGGGTTTCGTCTACGTTTCGCTAAGATTCTCCCAATACGGTTACAGACTAATCCAGTCATTTAAGCTTAAATTAGGTAAGAATCTCGGAATTCGAGATACCCAGCTGTAAGTCTGTAAATACTTGTATATTGACACTCTAAAATAATTTAAATAGCCCTGTATATACCAATATTTACCTGTTAATAATGTTTTCCACTGTGTCAATAGAAATGTATTCATCTGACCCTTAGAGCTACCACTGATAACTTCTAAACTCGTACAGTTCTGGGTTCTTTGTATATTTATTTTTGACAAAGTAACAGCTCCATATTCATTTTCTTATACGTATATATCTCTTCTCGATGTAGTCTTCAAACTTATTTTGATTCGTTCCATTACATGACACTTTGTCAAGACATGAAACGCTATGATTGAATTAGCACAAATGTGAACTTTTCAGACCAAAAACAACGAAACGAAGACATCTTCATCTTCCGATATTATATTTGATGAACTTATGACAGTTCCTACCAGTCAAAAGAAATTTCTTGCAAATACTCACAGCAAATCTCGGTTCATTTCAATGTTGGAGGATAAGTTTATTGGCGAAAATATATTGGTTAAACAGGCTAATAACGACGTACTGATTATACAACTATTGTTGTTGATGAAGATGTAGAGTTACTCGTATTTCTTACTGCTCGAACTCCACCTGAAAAAACTATTTTCTTTCTAAAGCCAGGAAAAGCTCAAAGTCAAACCGAAATATTCGTCAAAAAGTTTAACTACTTTTGCAAAGAGTCAAAATCATGTACTATTTTAACACGCAATAACTGGCAGTGATACGATGTCTGCATTTTACAGGGAGGGGGGGTAAAGCAACAGTCTTTATAATGTTTGAAAAACAAGATTTAGTTTAGTGTGCTGAAGTTTTCAAAAAAGGTAATTCGACTCAACAAGAAATTATCACCAACAAGATTCAGTTTCTTCTTTCTATGTACAAAGCTCCGAAAAAAACCAACTGCTTAGATAAGTATCGATATGCATGTTTCGTAAAAAACACTAAAAATAAGAAACAGNCAAACGATTCGACTGTATCAATATTTATCAAAACGCCGTTAAAGCTTTCGCTTCATTGGTCACTCACTTTATTATTCCAGTGGGTACCAAACACAACATTCTAAAAATGCTCACAATGGCGCCATTGCAATACGAAACTTGGACGTGCTACTCGAATGGTTTGGCAAAATCCCAGACTTTTTCTGCATCGAGATCCAAAACATTCAAAACAATGCCAACACATTGGTGTTTAGAAATTATTATTCAATTCAACGAGACGATCGGAGTTATAATGGCATAATTATTAATGACTGGAAGCGTGTTTGAAGCAAAACTGTCGTTTGGCGAGGATACATTTTAAAGTACAGTGTGTTCCAAAATGAAAAATGAGAAGTAAAACCTCCTGTTTTTATACCACTTGTAATTGTAACTGACGTTACGGCAGTTTCGTCCTACAAGAACATGTTCAAACTAATACAGTAAACTGAAATAATCAACTATGTACATTTGGTCAAAATACTAACCTTGGATTCCAGTTTGTCGTTGTCATGCTTCAGTTTAGTTCTTTCATTCTCTAGTTTTTCTAGCTTCAACTTGATTGATTCCAGTTCATTCTGAAAAAAAAAGAAAAGAGTATTAATGAAAAATCAGTACCGATGAAGTAATTGTTCAGAAAAAGATAATGTTTTTGAGAATCAAGTCCTCAAATCTCATTTTTATCAATCACAATGAGGTGCAGACATATCAACAAAGTAAGGAACTACTGAAAGTCCTTATAATGATCACATCTGGTATTTGTAGTGATGCCAGTTAATTTGAATAGTCTCATACAAAAGATGAGAAAGCAAAGAAAGCTGAACCAAATCTGGCAATTTTCCAGTCAATTCTTTCACTTTTAATTCCGATACGTGTCAAGAATTTGCTCGATGAAGAAACGCATTAAAATTCTCACGATTTCTCGCAGTTTGACAGTTTGAAGAATAAAATCAATCATCTCATAAGTTTCTTCGAAAGTCGAAGGAAGACCAAGTTATCAATTATGTATTTTTCGTTCTGCGAAGAACAGTTTCCTAGTAGAACGTTACATAAAATGCATAATGCATACGGTGTACGCTACCGGGTTGTTTTATATCTCACAAAAACTCTGGTGAGTTTATTGCCTATTCTTCGAAATCTATCGCTCCATTGCGATAGAAAGCGGAGATGGGAATTCATATGTTAACAAAGAGTTTATCCGACTTAAAGGATTATCAGAGAGGATTATTGTTTTTTTCAATGAATATTCTGCAAAGTAACAGATGAATAACAAATAACAATGCATTGAGGAAAAATTTGAATGAAGAAATTTAGAGATTTGCTCTCGACCAACTTTTTAATAACACGGCATTGATATTACAGCATTGATGACAGTAATTTCAGGACATATCAATAAACTGTAGATAACAAGTACCTACATGTAAATGATAATACAGTTAAGGTTGAGAATGCGACTTGGAATAGTCGAAGTAACCTGTATTCTGAATAGTTAAAGCTATCGGCATCTCAAACCTTTAGATGTTCATATAATGAAATCATTTAAAAAAACAATATACGACTGTTATAAAAGCAATGAGATTCTTACCCCATAACGTGAGCTGCTATGACAAAACTCTTCAGAATTGGATAAAGAAACTAAGATTTAGATCGAAAATAATAAAGAAACGTCAAGCAGTTATGGAAAGCAGAAGAATAGTGGAATTGCGTAACAAATACTTAGAACAAATAACTAAATATAGACAAGAACAATGGCAAATTTTCTATTTGGAGGAAACTTGGTATGACATTCACGACACAGTTACGAAAGGGTGGACTGATGGTTCGAGAATGTGTACGCCTAACATGTCTGCAAACAAAGTATCGCAACTAATCATTGTGCATTGCGGAAGACGTAAAGGATGGGTTCCGAATTCTTTGAAATTATGTGGAAAAAACTGCAATGTTGATTATCGTAAGAACATGGAAGCTAATATTTTTGAGGAATAGTGTAATAGTTCTTGACAACGTTTCCTATCATTCGCGACAGCTCATCAAAGTACCGAATAAAAATTCGAGGAAAGATGAAATACAAATCTCAATAAAAAGCTAGCTTTAGGATGTTTTGCAGTGAGAATAACTTATAAGGATCTTGATTTGTCTTATGGATATTATAAATATGGATAATCATTGTGTGTACAGTGGAAGTTATGAGCATGTATGACGCTTTAATCACATTACCAGTTTCGTTGCTAAGGAAAGTCTCGGTTGCTAAGGAAAATCTGGTTGCTATGTACATTTTCTGTGCCAAAAAAACCGAGTACTACAGAAATCGCGAATTCGACAATTAATTTTGGACGCTCCATACAAAATATACTGCAACGAATTCGAAGTCGCCCCTGACCGATATGTCGGCCAGCGAANAGTCTTCAACACGTCGCGTCGTGTAGATTGAAATACTTCGTTTGAAAATGAAAGTATGCAGTAGGTTGGCTGTTGATTAAGACAAGGTATTCGATTTTTCAAAAAAATCAAGACTGCATAACGAATTTAGTCATCAATAATTCACTAAAACATAGTCAGAGAAAAATGCACCGCCCTCCGTCATTTCATAATGAATTTTAAAACTGTTTGCACTAAGTGGTATTAACAACTTTCATGAACATACTAAAGAAGTCCTGACCAACGCTACGTCTTGATTTTATACGGTAAATATTCGTTTTGAGGCACCCGGCGATTTTGAAAACATTTTTGAGTGTACTTACGTATTTTGATGCGTAGATTACGAAAGAAAAAAGCGGCGCTCTCCCTTAATTACAAAGTTACGGCCCTTCAAAGTTCAGAAAAGGGCAACTTTTCAGTCTTCTTTTTGACAAGATGAACTATTCAAAAACACAAGCATTTATTCACTAGGTCACCTTTACACCTTATTCCTCCTTCTTTGACACTTTTCACTTCAATAATAAACATTTTTCTTGTAAAAAACTTAATTTAAAAACGAATGCTTCTCCTGGTGACATTCTTCTATTTCTAGGTTAGTTACTAGTGACATTTCAGAAAAAAGCAGTTGGTATTTGCCGCCGCCTACTATTCCAAATATAACTCATACTCACTAGGATTGTTTTGCGGAATATAAGCTGATGTTAGTTTACTTCTTAAATCCATCTTATATTAATAAACCACCAAAAACCAATTTACGATCTGAACAATGAATACAAAGACATTTGAATTACTTCAGAAATATTGACAGCATCCTGTCGTACCAACTATGCCATTAACCTCAAAAACGTAAAATACAGAGATATATAACCAATACCCAAAACATTTTTTCAAAATCGTCAGGTGCCTTCAAAACGAATATTTACCAAACTTTATTCTAATGTACTCTGCCGTTCTGTTACTGATTTTATTCTACGTTGCGACAAAAAAATTCCTTCGCTACCGTGTCACCGATTCAATTCTTTCTCGGAAAACGAACACAATGGCAAGAATGGGTCGAGAAAAGGTACTAATAAGATAAAACGTCAGATGCACGTGCGTCGATAGCACAAATAATAGCGTTATTTATATGTAAAGTGCAATCCATTCTGAAGAGACGTTGAACCTGATTCGAGATAAAGTAATAATAATTGGAGACGAAAACATAAAAGCAGCGATTGTTAGCTGCACGTGATAAAATTTGCCACTTATTGAATATTGATGTGTAAGACCTTCAACAGTCAAAAGAAGAGTTACCCTTTGTCGGGAGGTACCAATCTTTTCAGGTAATTCATGAATAGAACTTATCGAAAACGCAACACATGTTGCGGTTTTGTAAACTTCTGAACTCTCTTAAATGTTATCACTTCAAATCATCAGCGCAATATATTTTCAATTTTGTGAGTGATGGGTAGGTATCTTGTCTAGAGACAGCAGAAACTCGCCTCGCGATATTTTCCCGGCGTACTTCGGCTTATTATCCCGTTACCGGATCAACAATCGAACGAGTCGGAGCGAACCTGTCAAAATTGTGGTTCGCAGTGCCGAATTATTGTAGATTTCAGTCTCCCTCAGCTCATAATGATTACGGAATACTGTTTATTTGAGGCCACTGAAATAGACACTGCTGAAACGATTCGTCATGTTTATGGAAATGTGGTACGTTTTAATTTATGATCAACCAAAAGAAGTCTGCAAGAATATGCCAACCATGAAAAAACCAACGAACAAACTACTACAGCGAACAAGTCTGAAACAATAGTTGTCACGAAAAGATGAGACGATAACGCAATAAGCCCAGCAGGCTCTTGTTTTTACACCATTAAAGTAAAATTAAAATACTGTGGAGATGATAATTCATGGTGTGTTTAGTTATAGTGATGCTGATCTGTGTTAGAAGACGATATATAGTGTTTTTCTGGTACTTGGAGGAAATGGACAAGTAGGAAGGCTCCGACGTATCAAAAAAAATACAACTGTGAGTACTTAAAATATTACATTCATTAAATATAAGGTGATTGTCGACGTATCAAAAAAAATACAACTGTGAGTACTTAAAATATTACATTCATTAAATATAAGGTGATTGTCGACTGGTTCAGAATCTTACTATAGTCAGAACTGATTTTATAAAGCTGAAGAACCCAACCGGGACGGTTTGTAGAAAATGTTGGTTTTTTCACTAGTGAAACAATAACCTAGGTATTTCAAAGCATATTACTTTTTGAGATGGGTTTCAATCTCATAGAATAGTATAAAAATGGTTACTTGATAAGAAAATCAATCATAGATATGAGAATTTCGGAATCGTGATTATGTTTTCCAAACAAATATTCATTTTATTCCTGGTTACAAATTTCTTGAGATATGTTCAGGAATTACTTGGTTTGGAGTTTATAAAAAACGTCAAAAGATGGTGTTCAAGTCGACTTATCATTTTCAGTTGAGGCGTTAAAAGAATCTCACTGTTCACCACAGCTTTTGTGCTTATTCATGCGAGTCGGGCATATATAATATGAATAGTAATAATGATAATGATTACGAATATTGAATGTAAGAAAAAAAAATCAAAATGCATTTAGTATCTCAAGAAGTACAAAGTGGAGAATGTTATTCGATTGTGATGAAACGAAATAAAAACAACGTTCACTTTCACGGCCGGAGATAACTGCGTGAAAGCTATTTTCCGAGGTTTTTGGCCCTGGCCTACAGGTTTTTATGCCTACTGCGGTAGACATACCAAAAGTGATATGGTAGCAGCACCCGAGATGGTATTCGAGTGGTTTCCGTTGTTCCAAACGCAGAAACTATCATTCCCCCTTCCGGGTTGAGTGCCCTGAGTTGAAATTTCTCCACGCGGTTACTGTGTACAGAACATCCCCGTTCCTCCGGAGAGGTCCTCAACTTACTGATGGGCACTTCAGCAAGATTGACATCTGATCTTCTTTGGTCGAAAGTCAGTCTCTAGGTTCTTTTACTTTCTGATCTATTGAACTATGATGCTGGCATTTGACTCTGGTTTTATATTATTATTGGTGGGCGTGGCTTGGTTTCTCTTGTTTGTGTATTTTTAAGGACAGGTAGCCAGATTTTAATAATGTTCATTGTATCTTATTTTCTATTGAAATTCTCCCTGTTTTTGAATTTCTATTGTCTCTCTATATACTCTTGGATAGAAATTGTGAGTTTTATTGAGTTTCACTATGGATAATGTGAGTGCCTTACTTGTTGAGAGCATGTTCAGCTACAGCGGATTTGTCGAGAATAACGAACAGAATGACGACAGGCGGCAAGACTGTTATTGTTCCAGGTTCAAGTACAGATACAAGTACAGGTACAAGTGCAGGTGCAAATACAACTGATTACCTGAAAAGGCATAAATACGCTTTACGAAGCCAAAAAGTTTGTCATCGGATAGCAAGCGAAGATGGTTAAACCTCTGAAGAAGAAATTCCAAAAATCCACGGCTTTCAAACTCGAAAAACAGTGACACTACCCCTCTTTTTTTTGTGGTTGGTTCAGCAAAACTCGAACCGACATACTTAACAGTTACGTCAAAGAACGTTCATCAAAGTCATTCCTTTCAAACCGGACGTAAAACAATGTAACAGATCAACAAAAAAAAAAACAAATACAAGAACCTATTTTATGATGCGTATTACGTTTCTTTGCGAACTCACCGTTTTTATCCTCAATTGCTCTTCAGTCCTGTGAACGTTCAGCAACGGTGTAACTCTCACCAACAATCGCCACCACGGCCAGTCCCTAACAGCTATGAACTTTCTGACATTCCTCTGTATACAGCGCACCGCCATATCTTGAAGTTTTCGTTGAGCCAGCTTTCTTCTGGCGAGGTAACCGCGGCAGTGTGCCTGAAGGTGGACCACCATACCGGCGAGACGTTCGTCGCGCTGTGTTTCGAGCTGGGATATGACGCCATTTCTGAAGAAAATCTGGAATTACAAGAAAAATATATATTACAGAGTATGTGTAAAGTTTGTATACTACCGATGGAATCAGTCGTCCAATGAAAAAAATGTGGGAGTTACAAAAACAAGTGGAAAGTGACAAATTTACAGTATAATAATTAGGATCTGCAGTCTAGTTAATTTTCTGAAGACGCAAATTTAGTTTCTGGCTATGTGTCTTTTTGGTAGTACAAAACGTCAGGTTAATTTCAATATTGTAACTTTTTTAGTGCTTGTCAAAAAAATTGTTATACAAATTTAATGTACAGCCCCTTTAAGGGGCTGTATCTTAACAAGGGATGCTCCAATGAAGTTTCTTTATATGAAAGATCCACTCTTTTTTTCGATGAGGAATCACCTCCTTCAATGTTTAACACATATTTAGTTACACCCTGTATCACTCGCAGTAATATTACAGTTAAACAATTATTTATTCAAGTAACTTTACAAATAACACGGCACCTCAGTCTTGAAACCCTTCTGGCGAATAGCAGGAATGTCTTTGCAGGCATCAATTATAACGGCCACATAAAAACTGTGATGGCAACTTCGACATACTTTTCATTTGAATTAAACATTTCATTCACTCGGTATAGCCGGGTACACGGCGTTTTATCTCGCTAACCCAGATTTCTTCACCCTTCTTCTAATTGAGTGACCTCTTCAGTTTATTCATAAATATTAACATCCTCATTATCAATGAAAAGCATTGTTATTCACTTCTTTTTTGAATCGGTATTTAATTCAGTGAATGGGAAATAGAGTAGTGTTTTGTATTTATTGTAGGAAACAGTTTCTTTCTGCGTGAGACGCTGAATGAATTCTGAAACTGCCGACAGTGAAAGTGGCAGTTCAAAATAAGGTTCTGATGAACATCAACACTAGGAAATACTTTTTATGTTCTGAACACTTCCGGTTCATCTATTGAAAACACTCTTCAGTCATCAGGATATGACTAACGTATCAAGACAGTAGGTTCTGGTAAATGCCTGCCGAAAAACAACTACTTTCCCGGCTAATACCACGCTGGACTATGAATTATATCGGGCAGACACTTATGCAAGATACCTGACAGAGATTAGTCTCGCTATTTCCCGTTCATTCAGCAGCAGGAGTATGCTGAAATCAATCGAGTAGATCACCTGCAGACCGGTCTCGAGGTATTACCTCTCGTCAGTGCAGGAAAGATCCGACCCAAACAGCAAAGTGCCTAGGAGTCGATTAACTTCAACGTGGCTCAATTGTGAATTTTATTACTTCGGACTTCTATTGTGTAATATGATTCTGATATGATTTGAAATATGTCAAAGACTAAATAAAATTGAAATGAATAACTGAAATATCAAGCAATTCAACGTAACCATTTATAGGTGAGTCGAACGCTTTCATCCATCCCCTCTTCCCTCTCCCCGCTTCACCGGTTTATCGGGAGTTGATTGTTTTTTCCGCTTGATTACAGGTTTCCGTATGTTGCGTATCTCTACGCTAACTTAGCTGAATGCGTCGTTGGACAACGTATATGCAACTTCTTTGAACTTCTTCTTAAACCAGTGTTCCTCCCTGTGAATGATCTCAGCTTGGGACCACTTGATGTTATGTTGATGAGTCAGAACATGCTCTGCTACTTCCGATTTGCTGGTTTCTTCTCGCTGAGTGTTTTTTTTGTGCTCTGCAAGGCTGGCTTTTGAGGGTCACCAGGCTGCTACGGATGGTGTTTTCGGACATGAAAAAGGTTTTGATGTTATACTTGTATGTGAAAACTTTGAATTCTAAAATTATTGTGTACCTTATCTGTTTTGTTGAAAGACAAATCCTCCTTGGTCAAGTCGATACCGCTATCTCCACCAATAATGGAAACATCCAAAACCGTTGTCAAAGATCCGGAACTCTTCAACGATGAAGTGGAAGACGACGGATTCGTATCATCACAATCCAACTCGATTTCATTGGAAATATGACCAGAGTCGTCAGAATTGTCCGAATTATAGTCTAGGTGTTTCTTCAAATTGTCATCAAGAACTGCAACAGCTTCTTTAGTAGTTTGAGACCCTTGTATCAAATAGATATCATTCCCATTTTTTTCTTGAACAAAATCAATAGGGTCCAGATAGTATTCCGTGTGTTCACCAGTTTCTGCTTTGAGCTTCTCGAGGAAATCTTGAGTCCGCTTCAGATTCAGTTTGATCGTTTCCATTTGTTTCTTCTTGAAAGTGCCTGTAGGTTTATTTGTTGCGACAGGTTCTTTCGAAAACTTGGGCTCAACTCGAGCCTTGTGGCTAGCGAAATTTTCCATGTTTTTGGCAACGCTGTTTTTGGCAGGAACTCCGAACGTGTCTGTTCTCAACTGCCTTGGTTTTGGACAGGGCTTGTCATCTTCCTTCACTTCCAGCTTTTGTATTACATTCTTCACCTTCTCGTTTGGAGCTTTGAGAACTATAAATGTATCTTCTGGAGTTACCTCTTCGTTTTTTCCAATGGAGGACAACTTCTCTACAGATTTCAAGACAGAAACGGTCCCATCTACTCGGTCCGCGGGTAGTCCTCTACTCAGAATTTTCAGAGAGTTAGGTACTATATTAGTTTCCACTTTGAGAATTGGTTTCACTGGTTTGGGTTTTTCTTTGTCACTGTCGAAGTTTCCAGAGAGATTCCTCACAGATTTTGATCTCACTTGCAATTTCCTACTGTTGTCCAGCGCTCTGTCGGGAATCTTAGTTGCAACATTGATCGATAGACTTTTTTGGTTCAAATTCTGTACACTTTTAGTTCTGTTTGATTTATCCAAACTTTTCAATTGGGTTTGCTTCAAACTCTGAACACTACTTTTTGTTGAAGTGCTATCTTGCTTGGCTAAAGACATTTTGTATGTGTTGCTCAAATTCTGAACACTTTTTCCCAAATACTGGCCGGATTTTGAAAGGTTCTGGGTACTTTTGGCTAGCGACAACTTTGAAGTGGTACTTTCCGTCAAGTTTAGGGTACTTTTAGCGAAATTTCCATTCAGGGTTTGCCTCTTAGAACGAGCATTACTTCTGTCTGGATCTAAATGGTTTAGATCGCAGGGAATGCTGGGGTAGTTCTTTCTCAAGGTCGTATTGACCGGAATCTTACTGCAAATCGACAGTTTTTTGTTGGAGCTGTTGGAGCTGAGGTCCAAAGTGCTTTTAGCTTTAGCGATTGTTTGTTTCGGAGTAATGTCGGACGTTATAAGTTCCTCTTTCGTATCAGTTAAACTGTTCAGTCTCTTAACCATTGCTCTAACATTTGACAAGACTTCCTTCTCAGAGTTTCGATTGGGTTCGGGAGTTCTTGGAAGTTTATCATTATTGGCAGTGCAATGAATCGAAGCTTCGTCGAAATTTTCAAAAGTTTTCTCACCCTGAAAGGTACCGTCCAAGTTGCTCATGCTTTTTGTTTTGTTGAGTGGTTTATCGGTTTCAGAAGTCCCGCTAGCTTCAGTAGCTAGTGGCTGCGAATTGCTTTTTTTCAAGATACACTTCGATTCAATGATGCTGCAAGTCTTTGCTTTCACCAGTTTCGGGATCTTGGTGTCACCTCTAAGACTTGGCTTATCGGTTTTAGGCACCGGTAAGTCAGGTTTTGCTGGGGTGGAAGTGGCATTAGGAGTTTCAACCCCGATATTGGCATACTCGTCCAGTATTTTGTCGAAGTTTTTGATAACTATTCTCAACTTATCCGATTGACTTTTGTCGAAATTGACATCCACTAGCGTAACATTTTCCTCCGCTTTTTTGTTGATTTTATCGCCTTTTTGGTATTCAACGTTTTCGTACGTGCGGTCTGTTTTTTTGTGAATGATAACAACATCACGTTTAGCTTTCAACGTAGAATTTCTTTCAGTTCCCAACCATCTTCTTGGCGTTTCGTATATCTTCTTGATCAGAGGCGTAGAGGAGTTCTTGGCATTGAACTTTTGCATCTTAGCGGAAGACATATCTTTTTTCAGAGCTGTTCCAGCATTTAATTACTCAATTACAGAATCAGTCGCGGTCTAGATAGCTTTAATATGAGGCTCGTCATAGTCTGCGTAAATCATCCTCTATTCTAAATCTTGATGTAGGTTAGTAACACAATGGTATATGCCGGGTTATTTTTGGAACGGTATTAGCATTTTTGATACTCCTACACTACTCGGTCACGCAAATTTTATTTTCCTCTTTTAATTAGCTGAGTTATGAAACGTTGCCCACATCTGAATTATGCACATACGAATGATGTGAAACTTTTCTTCAAATATGGGTAAGAATTTCTTTTGGAATTCTTCGTATCCGATTCCAAAGTTGTTAACGGTCTCCTGAAATTGAGCGAGGTGATAGTTCATCTTGTGTTTTGTGGACTAAATTCTGGAGATTTTCGGGTCGAGTTTTGATTAAAATGTGAATTAACGTGAAACTTGACAGTAACTTCGTTTCTTTTGGGAAGATCAATTATTTTCTTCGAGGCCATACTTCGAGAAATTTCGGCTTCGAACTGAACTTTAGTTCAGTTGTTATTGACCAAGAAATACAAAATAATGGAGAAAAATAAGAACCACTGTGAAACAATATCTAAATATAATGACAAAGAAGATTGGGTGAAATAAAAAAGGAAGACTTTTGGTTTGGTAAATTTTGAAAGCGTTTCTCCAGATAATCTATCCTAATTCGATTTAAATACAGTGTCATCCCCAAAGTATGCGCCATATGGGAAACTTATTTATTAAGGGTTTTTCGACAAAAAGTTATTCTTGATAAAAGTTTGTTAATCCCCTAAAACTAAACATGCACTAACAAAATACAGTAAAACACACGTAATATACGAGGATCCTTCAAATATTTGATTTTGAGACAATAGTAAAGTAGTCTTATTTTGAAAAATCCCGGAAAATGTTATTTAAAAAAGTAGTTCAGCATTAAAAAAATATCAAGTCATGGCCGAAAAATTACTCAAAATTATACAGTATTATAACAAGAACTCAATATTCAATAATATCAAATCACAAAACATCAAAATAAAATAGGTATTTTGGAATAAACTCATTGATTTTCTGGAGATTATCCCCAGTATAATTTTACAATTTACAATTCAGTATAATTTTGAGTAATTTTCTGATCCTGAATTAGATACTTTTATCGAATTTTCATTTCTTAGAGTGATTATAAACATAAATAATTTATTTTTTCGGTCACAAAATTAAATTACACAAACATTAAATTAATTAGGTGCTTGAAACACCTCCTTTTCACGATCATATTAAGTACATAATAATTTCCAAGAACCCAGGGATTTCCTATTCAACAAAGTGCCTTTGGAAGAACAATTTTTATGGTACTACATAAGCCCATATTTCTATAAAGTTTCCAAGAAGTCCAGAATATTCTATAAAAGTATTCAATACCTGGCAGGTAATTATTTTGAAAACCCTAACAACTGAAGTAATTACCATCAATCCTGAATATATAAAAAATATAAATGGTGTATCCCTTCGAGAGACTATTCCTTCAAAAATAAAATGTTATGTGAAGAAGATATTTAATTTTGGATGGTGCTCGTATTGATATTGGGGCTTCCCACAGGTGAAAAAACTCCGCAATGTCGCAAAAAAGCAGCAACTTTTTTTTAGGAACATATTGAAGAACAGACGCGTATACAGTATGTATCACATACAAGTTGAGATAGAGAAGTGAAATTATCAAAAAAAATTAGTATAAAAGCTTGAAATATAAATACATTAGGCTTGGTATTTTCGAACTTTGTAATTTTGAATATTTTTACGTTTGAAGATGTTTTTCATTTCTTAAACTAATTTTTTGCGTGTGTAAATAAAAATAAAAGTTGTCTTTTTTCATTGTTTATTACTATTATTTAATAAAATAATTTATTAATTTCTAAAGTATTCAGACTTATGATGCTTTGTATAAAATAAACCTGGTTCTAACCAAATAAACCTAGTTTAAACAAAAAAACCTGTTTATTTCGTTTTTTTTTTTTAAATCCTTGGTTTTTGCCAACTCTGTTTTTTTTGGGTTTATAACCTTCCAAAACAAGTCAGTAACTTGTTGTATTTACTAATTTTGCCTACAAATTAAAAAAAAATTAATACTTAGCTTTCTTCAGTGGTTAACGTTTCGGAAAACAATCCTTTTCCGTTTTCGAAACCTGTTTTCACTATAAAAATCTCGCCTTAAACAGTGATGGTTCTAATTTCTTTTGACAATTGATTTTTTCAATTTGTAGGCAAAATTTATGAATACAAGTTACTGACTAATTGGACTTTCCAGTAGTTTATATAACGCAGTGAACATTTTAAATTGTCCTTGACTACTCTTCAGCAGATTCTCTGTCGATTTAGCTTGGAGAAGGGTATAAACCCAAATAAACTGTATAAAACTTTGAGTCTTCCACAAAAAAAAATATCGTTTAAAGAAGTTAATTTTGATCAGAAAAGAGTCGGCAAAATTTTTTCACAGGTAATATAAATTTTGTTGGTTTCCAAACGTGGAACACCAAAAGCATATATGTTTTTGAAAATAGGAAGGTGTTTTCAAGATTGAATTTCCGTGAAAGAGTGGGTTTGCTTTAAACCATTTTTTTTGACAATCAAATACAGTCTCACCCAATTAGTTTCACATACAAAAACAAGGTTTGTCTAAATCAAACCGCATCAAATTCTCAGAAAAGAATCAATTATAATTCGATTCCCGAAAAAATCTCCAGAACCGTCTCTTCGCCAGATCGAAAAAATTACCACTCTCTGTTACAAATATCCACTGCATTCACTGTCACCTCCAACATACAATTTTCGCGAAGCCACAAATATCGGCGGAAAAACGCGTTCAATCACGATACCGTTGACGTTCACCACACAAAGACGAGTACCAACCGAAGGACAAGAAGCGACTGCACCGGCTGCGGAGTACCGTCGCCTCCTCGATGGACGATTAGTGCAGATGTTGGTCGGTACCACAACAAACCGCAACAAGTGAAAGAAAAGCTCAGGAAGCAGTTGGCGCGTCGAGGAACAGGTATAGTCGTAGTAAACGATATTGTGTACTCTTAAAGTTGCCGGCACTCTTAAAGGCAAAAAAAACTACATAGAAAAGAACCGGCAGCAAACTAGTCCACGTGGACTGTAAAGTTGGCGGTTCGTATTGGGAAATTTTTAACTAATCGAGTCATAAAATTAAATATGAAGTCATGTTACAGTGACGAATAGAATGCTAGGATGGTTATCGCCGTCGTGTTGTCAATGTTCAGTTCAGGAACTGATCGCAATTTGACTGTTGAAATTTTTGTTATCTGTTTAAAATGCATTTTTGGACAAGTACCAATAGTAATAACGAGTTTGGTTTCGAGGGAAACAAACTATTACAAGCAACATCAGATTTGACCGAAATTCCTGTCTCAACTGTAAGTAAAACAGTCAAAAACAAACCTTATGAACGCAAGACGCGATGTGATACGGGTTTACCAAAACCTGTAGATGTTCATCTGATAAAATCATTGAAAAAAACAATATACGACTGTTACAAAAGCAATGAGATTCCTACAACTGAAATCATAAGGAAGAAATTGAATACTTCCGGCCATAACGTGAACTGCTGTGACCAAAACTCTTCAGAATTGGATAAAGAAACTAGGGTTTAGATTAGAAATAATAAACAAATGTCAAGCAGTTATGGAAAACACAAGAATAGTGGAATTGCGTGATAAATACTTGAGAGCAAATAACTAAATATAGACAAGAACAACGGCAAATTTTCTTCACGACATAGTTACGAAAGAGTGGACTGATGGTTCGAGAATGTGTACGCCTAACATGCCTGCATTTTCGAATTAATAGCTACAATAAAATACTATGAGAAGTAGGTATCACAAATTTCGAGTTTAGACAGTAGACTATTTTTATTGACAAAAATATAATATGGCGATTTACACCTATCGCTTACTTGCTAAGTCAGTAACGGTCAAATATCTACACTCACTTAGACATAAATAATAAGTTTAGTTACGAATTGAAGATGTGTACAGTGATAAGCAGTAATGAAAATATAATGCAAATAAATAAATATTGGTGTACATTATAGAGCGAATGATAGTAGTCCGAAAATGGAGCCTTGCGGTTACTCCATAACTAACAAGTGAGATATCAGAAACAGACAAAAATCAACAGGACGCAGTTACCGATTGCAAATCCTTGAGAAACATTTCGATGAGATGAATATAATTCAAAATAGAATATGTGAAAACGATTATTATTATTATTATTACTGCAGCGCATGTCTTGGAACATTCCATAAATTTTTAGGTGCAGCTTGGCAACTCTATTTGATGCCCAGTAGATCACCGGAGTGGAGCGAGACCTCAATAACGTCGAGAAACTCGTGTAGTGAACATCGTGTTAGTACAGTTAGTGGAGAAATTATTCTGTGCGGTGAACTATGAGTTATTTGTTGTTTTTTGACAAGTACCTCAAATACATTGTGCATTACACAATTAAAATGCAGGGATATAGCGGTCGCGGCGGTACCGGCCGGGGGGCCGGCAGCATATAAGTAGCGCGTCGAAGGCTGCGATTCGCCTATAGCACTTTATGATTAGCAGATATTGTACGCGTTTATATGTATGTTTAGTATCAGCATTGCACCCGTGCGGAGCCGGAGCGGCTCGCTAGTGAGTTTTTATGGAGAAGTATTGTGATAAAATGTGTTACTCAAACGTTCGTAAACCTAAATCAATCGACAGGATTCTTGGGCAAATGCAATAAACTCGTAACCGGAAATATATTTTAAAACTCAATTGGAATAGCAGCTTTTTTCAGACAGGATGAATGATGCATCCGCAGCAGCGTGAAGTAGTCAACGATCTCGGTTTTTTTTCTGCCAACCATTCACTAAGAATTTATTAGGATTGTCCAAAGTAATTGAATAACAATTTATCGGTAATTTCTGTCGTTAGTCTCGTTTGATACACGTTACAGAATGTTGCTTTATATTAACATGACAATTTATATTAATAAGTTTATAAATCATACGGAAAGATTACGATCGTGACATATGGCCAGCGGCCTTTTTGAAATTATTGAACATCTTTACATTTCCATTAGAAATTCGATTTTGAATTATCGAAGAATGAGAAACATTCGCCTTTGACCGCTGTTGAACCAAAAAAACTAATCAACATGAAATTCCGAATTGAATATTCATCATTCTTGATGTTTTACTGTGAGTCAATGAATGAATTTGTTATAAAAAAAAGAAATTCGGTGACTAGCTGATGAAAAATAACACAAAATTACGATTCAAGTCACATAGATTTTTTTATTCAAATTTTGAAGGGAATGTTTGAAATTCTTCTCGAATAAAAGTTTAAGATATCGATGTACTGATATTTTATGAAGTATTCTCTTATATACCGGGTGAAGAGTAGAAGCGTGGCATGTGAATGTTAGTTTTTTTAATGAAAGGTCAAATATTACGTTACATATTCCAAGTGTTCCTTTTCAAATATGTTCAACTTTATTATATACTTTATTGTTCAAAGAAAAACTATTGTTGACAAAGTTGTTGAATAAATATAAAAGAATACATAAATGTGCTATAAATATAAAAATATAGTTTTTATACTAAAGTATAAAAACACTGAATAAAAAAACCACAAACAATGGTTGAAACATACATACACATAAAACATGCTAAGTTAAAAATGATCGGTACAGAACTCAGTCAAACTGTAATAGGGTCTACTACTCAAAATTTCTTTAATAATTTTTCTGACTCTGATTGGTATCAATATTTATCTCTTTAGTGTAACTCGGCAGATGTTATACATTTTCACACTATTGTAAAATAAGGAGTCCTTGACCAGAGAGTTGCAAGGGATAGGTAAAGTGAGACTCTATCAAAGCGTGATATGCAGTATAAACATTCCATTCCACTAGTTCGGACTTCCACTGTCTAATCCCTGAAACAACTAAAAAAGGAGAATTAAAAATAAATAGCTGTAAATAACATATAAATAAAATATAATTGTTATTTACAGCTATTTATTTTTAATTCTTCTTTTTAAGTTGTTTCAGGGATTTCAAATCATTTTATATATTAGACAATGGAAGTCCGAACTAGTGAAATTCATCATGAAACATTGTCAATCACCTCTAAACAAATAAGAGGAGTGTTGCTGTAAAATGTCTTTCGAGTAACAATATTGCCCGCCAGGATGTTATTCTAAAGGTGAGCACAGTTCGATTCAATTCAAAATAGTTGCTCTCTCTATTTGCCATAATCATGCAAAAGGACAACATTCAAATTCATGTCACAGGAAATACAGTAGTCAATCACCTTCAAACAAACATAAACTTCCCAGTTCTCTAGCAATAACTCTCACTGCATAACAGCATGTGGAAATTTTACTTTTCATTTTTCTGATGTGAGCGTCAAATTTCAGTCCACCGTCTATATACAGTCCCAGAAATTTAGTACACTCTCGCTACAGATAAATTCTGAAGTGAACATTTGAAAGTCATAATATTTGTTTTAGAAATATTAAGGGACTTGATTTTTTGTATATCACGAGCTATTGTCTCATTGAAGTGTATCTACACCTTTACTTTGCTACAATATAGTGGTATCGTCAGCGAAAAGGGTGAATGTTCCAGATATACTGATGTTCATCAAATCGTTAATATACAACAGGAACAATATGGGACCAAGAACCGATCCCTGTGGTACACCAGTATTTATTTCAATACTGTTTGAACATTTAATCGTTTTTACAATCTGACTGCGACCATTTAGATACGACTCAAACCACCATAGATATTCAGCTTACGTAGCAGTATTTTATGATCAACGCAGGCAAACGCTTTTGTAAGGTCTCAAAAAACTGCTGCAGCAGCATCTCCGTCATTCATATTGGAATACACCTCAAACAGGAAAGAGAATATTGCATCATGTGTGCTCTTGTTGCTCTGGAATCCAAATTGATTTTTCCTTGAGTTATAATTTTATGGCGAAGGAGACATTCATCGAGGGCCACGTAACTGAAAGATTATTCATTGCTTTGGGTGATTCTAACCTAATGATTCTCCGCACTCGCAGGGTATCCGGTAAATGCAATTCTTGGAATCGCAGTCCGCGTTTGGTGGCCTGGTTTTCGTGAGGCTGCTACGGATAGTATTCTCAGATCTGAAGCAGGTCCTGATGTTGTACTTGGACCCAATCCTTCTTATCCTTTCCGATAACCCTCTGATGTAGCGAAACACAAGTACTGGTTGTGCGGCTTCTGTTCCTTGTGGAGTTCTTGCTGTTTTCTAGCTAAGGCCTGTTGTACCATTCCTTTGGAGTAACCATTCCGTTGCATTCCGAAACCTTCCTTAGTATTACAGAGCCAAAAAGCACGGTCCAGTAGAGTCTTCATGATTCCTCTATTTTTTTAACATACCTCGTATAGTAAATATCGAAGTTCCGTTTCTGCATTATTCTAAATATTTGACGAACTCGCTATAGTGTCTACAAACATAGTATCGGCAGTAAATTAATACTCATTATATGAATCGAACACTATAAAACCGTAAGACTAACGATGTTTTACCGTAAAATAGGAATTTACGTTCGAAAAAGGGGGGTTTACACTGACCGTCGGTATTATAGATAACATCTAGCTTTGTTAATAATATATAACATGTAATAGTTCTTTGGCTCATTTACTCTGCGAAATAATTCACGTCGTTAATTTATTTTTATTTTATAGCCTGAGTAATGAGGTCAGTTCTATCGAATATAGCACAGTCGAACATCCTGTGAATGTTGAAAACAAAGTTAAAAGAAAACTGGAAAAGGTAACCCACATAACATCGGAGAGTATCCATACGAAATATGAAAGTGAAACAAAGTCAAAACAG